GTAGGGGCTTGGGTTGAGAGGCGGAGGGTCGCCTGGTGAAGTCTCGATGCGGACCAAAGTCTGAAAGCTGGAGAGGTGACAGGTCACTTCCTGAGTACTGCTGAGGTTCCCTTGAGCAAGGCACCATACACCCAAAAGTTCTGCCATACTCCACTTGTAGCAGCCCAACCCTGACATCTCTCCATTAGTGTCCACAGGTCGTGTGTGTGATTCGGGCCGTCGTGTGTGAGAAGCATGTCTCTCAATATAAAAGTGTAAAACCAGAATTTCTCCTCTGGGATTTATAAAGAATGTAAAATAAAAATGTAATGTTTCTGCTGCTTCAGTAACATGGCATCCCCAAGGATGTATCAGGAGGGTATAAAGGAGACTGATAAAAGTCAGTCTAAAAACTAGAGCACACTGCCACCTGGAGGTTCAACAGTGAAAATGCAACCACTCAGAATCAGACAGAGACTGAGTTATTCTGCTTTATCGTCTAAAACACCTTTAAAAAAATATATTTTATACAACTTGGCTTTGAAACACGTTTAAGTAATATGTAATACAGTTGGATGCATTAAGAGCTCGTTCTCTGGATTAGAGATTTTCTGTCCACAGAGGATTTCTTCTTACCGATGTTCTTGGAGTAAACTGGCACCAGCACATTAACCAGCCGCTCAGCTGCCAGCAGGCCCGCACAGAGCAGCACGAGTCCCTGCAGAGCTGCAGAGCCTTTGGGCCAGACGTACGGCAGCAACAGTCTCACCTTCGTCCCAAAGCCTTCCCACGCAGACGGTGAGGAGGGGGGAGAGGGGGACGGGGGGTACTGGACCTGAAAGGACAGAGACGTTTGACAGAAAGGGGAGGGATGAGTTTTGTCAGATATAATGTCGAGGTGTTGGAGAGCAGACAAACTAAGAAGTTCAAAACAAACAGTAAACCAAAGGTGAGACACAGGTGAGACAAAAGACATAGGTGAGACTAAGTACACAGGTGAGACTAAGTACACAGGTGAGACTAAAGACACAGGTGAGACTAAAGACACAGGTGAGACTAAGTACACAGGTGAGACTAAAGACACAGGTGAGACTAAAGAGACAGGTGAGACTAAAGACACAGGTGAGACTAAAGACACAGGTGAGACTAAAGAGACAGGTGAGAGTAAAGACCCAGGTGAGACTAAAGAGACAGGTGAGAGTAAAGACACAGGTGAGACTAAAGACACAGGTGAGACTAAAGAGACAGGTGAGACTAAAGACACAGGTGAGACTAAAGACACAGGTGAGAGTAAAGACCCAGGTGAGACTAAAGACACAGGTGAGACTAAAGAGACAGGTGAGAGTAAAGACCCAGGTGAGACTAATGAGACAGGTGAGAGTAAAGACACAGGTGAGAGTAAAGACACAGGTGAGACAAAAGACATAGGTGAGACTAAGTACACAGGTGAGACTAAAGACACAGGCGAGACTAAAGACACAGGCGAGACTAAAGGGACAGGTGAGACTAACGACACAGGTGAGACTAACGACACAGGTGAGAGTAAAGACACAGGTGAGATAAAAGACACAGGTGAGAGTAAAGACACAAGTGAGAGTAAAGACACAGGTGAGAGTAAAAACACAGGTGAGACTAAAGAGACAGGTGAGACTAAAGAGACAGGTGAGACTAAAGACACAGGTGAGACTAAAGACACAGGTGAGACTAATGACACAGGTGAGTCTAAAGAGACAGGTGAGACTAAAGACACAGGTGAGACTAAAAAGACAGGTGAGAGTAAAGAGACAGGTGAGACTAACGACACAGGTGAGACTAAAGAGACAGGTGAGACTAAAGACACAGGTGACACTAAAGACACAGGTGAGAGTAAAGACACAGGTGACACTAAAGACACAGGTGAGAGTAAAGACACAGGTGAGACTAAAGACACAGGTGAGACTAAAGACACAGGTGAGAGTAAAGACACAGGTGAGACTAAAGACACAGGTGAGACTAAAGAGACAGGTGAGACTAAAGAGACAGGTGAGGTCAATCAGGGTGGATTACACAATCAATAAGACCGTGAGACTAAAGACACAGGTGACACTAAAGACACAGGTGAGAGTAAAGACACAGGTGAGACTAAAGACACAGTGAGACTAAAGAGACAGGTGAGACTAAAGAGACAGGTGAGGTCAATCAGGGTGGATTACACAATCAATAAGACCGGAACAGAGGCGCTGCTTGCATGTACCTGCTTGGGGCCCCAGACCAGTAGGGGGCCCCTGAGGGTTCACAATCTTAAACCAAAGCAGCGGCCTAAAACATGCACATTTTGCAATGACAGCAGAAACCTCCCTAAAGGGGCCCCATCTGACAGCACTCACTCTCTTTGCCCTGCTCAGATGAGCATGCATCATTGCTGTGAACAGAATCGTGATGAACGCCGGTGTGAGGCCCCTCTAACTTATTTTTGCCTAGGGTCCCAAAAGACTCTTGAAGCGCCACTGGAAAGGAAGGAGAACTAGACAAGAAACACTGAGGCAAGAACTTCAAAATAAAACAGGAAACAGTAAAACCTAAACTTTGAATTGTTATAACAAGAGTAGAAAAGAAAACCAACACAATCAAACCGGAAATAATATCAAAACCCTGAAACAAACAAAATACAAAACTAAGCAAGAACAAGTCATGACAAATAACACAAGTCTGTCGATACTAACGACCAGAGAATCAGCTTCTGGTGTCTCTGGACGGGGCGACGGTCGCTCAGACTGTAGGCCCCAGGAGCAACATGCGCCCCCCCTCGTCTTTAGATCGTGAATCCATTTGGAATATCAATAAATAGTAAACATAAAGAAAACATGACAAAGTCCGTTGTGAAGGATTCAAACCCAATACAACATCATGAACGAAGACCAAATGCACTTGAACATTATCTTTGATTAACTGCCGTATGTTTGGTTCTTTGTGAAACAAACTGAAAATCATTTGCTGTAATTGTGCCAAGAAAGTTCTTGTATACAACGTTTATGAATGTATTTCCAAAAAAAGTGAAATACGCTTTGACAATCAACTTGGCTTAAAGAAAGAATGTGCGACTTTTTGATCCAGTAGGTGTCGCCCTTGAGCACCAGCATGAAACCAAAACAAACTGCTGTTTGGCCACGCCTCCTCCAAACTGAAGCCTCCGCCCTCCTCTAGAGGACACCTCAAACCCCCCTCCACTCGTTTTCACACCAAAAGTTATGACTTAGAAAACACCATAATGAAACACCACTTAGCCCAAGCAGCAGACAAACTTGTCCTCGTCTCGAGCTGTAATCACCTCTGCATTGTTGTGTTAGCATGCTAATGTTAGCGCTCTTTAGTCAGCTCGTAGCTTCACATTGTTGTGTTAGCATGCTAATGTTAGCGCTCTTTAGTCAGCTCGTAGCTTCACATTGTTGTGTTAGCATGCTAATGTTAGCACTCTTTAGTCAGCTCGTAGCTTCACATTGTTGTGTTAGCATGCTAATGTTAGCGCTCTTTAGTTAGCTCGTAGCTTCACATCAGCTGGGTCCTGCATTGTTGTGTTAGCATGCTAATGTTAGCGCTCTTTAGTCAGCTCGTAGCTTCACATTGTTGTGTTAGCATGCCAATGTTAGCGCTCTTTAGTTAGCTCGTAGCTTCACATTGTTGTGTTAGCATGCCAATGTTAGCGCTCTTTAGTTAGCTCGTAGCTTCACATTGTTGTGTTAGCATGCCAATGTTAGCGCTCTTTAGTCAGCTCGTAGCTTCACATTGTTGTGTTAGCATGCCAATGTTAGCGCTCTTTAGTCAGCTCGTAGCTTCACATTGTTGTGTTAGCATGCCAATGTTAGCGCTCTTTAGTCAGCTCGTAGCTTCACATTGTTTGTGTCATGATGTACGCGCTTTAGTCAGCTCGTAGCTTCACATTGTTGTGTTAGCATGCCAATGTTAGCGCTCTTTAGTCAGCTCGTAGCTTCACATTGTTTGTGTTAGCATGCCAATGTTAGCGCTCTTTAGTTAGCTCGTAGCTTCACATTGTTGTGTTAGCATGCCAATGTTAGCGCTCTTTAGTCAGCTCGTAGCTTCACATTGTTGTGTTAGCATGCTAATGTTAGCGCTCTTTAGCGCTCTTCAGTTAGCTCGTAGCTTCACATTGTTGTGTTAGCATGCTAATGTTAGCGCTCTTTAGTTAGCTCGTAGCTTCACATTGTTGTGTTAGCATGCTAATGTTAGCGCTCTGTAGTTAGCTCGTAGCTTCACATTGTTGTGTTAGCATGCTAATGTTAGCGCTCTTTAGTTAGCTCGTAGCTTCACATTGTTGTGTTAGCATGCTAATGTTAGCGCTCTGTAGTTAGCTCGTAGCTTCACATTGTTGTGTTAGCATGCTAATGTTAGCGCTCTTTAGTTAGCTCGTAGCTTAGCATTTCATGTAAACTGACACAGAATGAGCGTGATCTAAAAACTCTTACTAACATCCAAATAATCAGTGAGTATGTTCTTCTTCTTCTCTCTAGTTCTTGACTAAAACAGCTTTTATACACAAGGGGAGGAGCCGGCCGTCCCGTCCATGTAAACACGGCTCTGACAACAACACAGCCAGCGGGACTCGAGCTTCTCCCTCATTGTAGACAGTCAGGACTCAGAGACACATTTACACAGGACAGACTTTATGATTTATTGATGTATATATGATATTTATATAAATATTTATTTATGTATATATGATATATATATATATATATATATATATATATATATATATATATATATATATATATATATATATATATATATATCATATATATTTATGTGTCTTTATCAAATTCTGTGTTAAGCTCATTAAATCAAACATTACTTTTTGTATTTGAGTTTAAAATATAAATATTGGTATCACACATTCTCTCCGTTAATGTCCATGGGTCCTGTTAGTGCAGGTGTGTGTGTGTGTTTCAGGCGCCTGTGTGTGTGTAGCCTGTCTCTCAAACACAGAGTGATGAATCCTCTGACATTAATAAAGTTTGTAAGATTATCAGAACCTCACCTCAACATTCACCACTCCACTCTTTCGTCCTCCTCCACTCTTCATCGAGACGTCAGCCATCTGATTCAGCTCCACTTCACTGTGACGTTAAACTCCCTCCTCCTGCAGTCCGACTACGAGCACTACACACACACACACACACACACACACACACACACACACACACACACACACACACACACACACACACTCGGTCATGGGATTACAAAGAAGTATTTCATTAACTGGAGCTGTATTAGTGGTCAAGAGGTGAACCTGCTGCGATGGCATGTCACACACACACACACACACACACACACACACACACACACCACACACACACACACACACACACACACACACACACACACACACACACACACACACACACACACCCCCTTCTGTTGTGTTTTGAGCTTTGAGTTTAGTTGTAGCTGTGGTCAGCTTTTTGCTTTGACCTGAGAGCAGGGCAGTGTGTGTGTGTGTGTGTGTGTGTGTGTGTGTGTGTGTGTGTTTGAGAGAGAGAGAGAGAGAGAGAGAGACAGATACCCTCTGCCAGCTGATCCTGAAGCTCCGCCCTCAAATCCCAGTGCTTCAGGACACACCCCAAACAATCTGGCCCTAAAAAAATAATGTTTATGTAAACTCCTGGAATATTTTACAACATTGCTTTTATTGATTTTATTTTCTTTATCTCATTTCTTGTTGTTTATCGTTTATGTATGTTTTCTTGGCATCATTGTAAATGAGGGTCGCCCTCAATGATCTCTCCGAGAACTTAAATAAAGGTTGATGATGATGATGATGATGATGATGATGATGATGAGACCATAAAGGGAAGAAAAAAATCAAAATCCAACTCTGTCATCTAGTGTTCAAAATGGGTACTGCGGTCCAAATTCCCCACAGAGCTGATGCAGGATAAGACAGTCAGAGACCCAGAAGGTCTGGTCGGCCGTCGGCTCTAGTCTTTGAGGTGTGTTCAAGTGCAACTTTATGACCAAGACAAAGGCGACGCCACAGACGGCCTTCGTCCCCACTTCTTCTTTGCCGTCTGCTCGGTGCGTCAGGGTCTTGAGGGGTTAATATAATATAAAAAAAGAAATGAAGGACACAAGACAGACGATGTATTGATACCTTTGCATGGACAAATTTAATATAAAAAGTTCAAACTGAGCTCGACTTGATTACATGTTGTGTCATTTCCTATCTTCTGAATATGTACCCCCCCTCCCCCCCAAAATGACAGTTTCAGTTTAACATTTTTAAACCACATAAAACAAGCAGGTATGTTAAAGACTTCACAGGGTGTAGGCGGTTCATAGCTTCACGGTTCAGATCTAAATGTTGGACTTGAAGACGAAGCTGCTGCTCTGCGTTCTTCATTTCCTGTGAAGATATTTTTCTGATTCGTGCAGCATTTCATTCATCTACAGCATTCAGCAACATCAGCTTGTTAGTTCACACAGATAGTTTGCAAATGTCGACGACACATTCAGAATCAAAGAGAGAAAGTCGTTCTCCTGTTGGAGGATTTAAACGTGTTGATATAATGTTTACAGCATGATGATGATGAGATTTCTGTTCCTGTTTTGTTTCCTCACGTCGTTGCAGGTTACAGAAAGCAGACATTTCAAACCTTAAACATCCAAAGTCCCTGTGAGGAAGATTCAAAGAGGAGTTGAATCCTCATGTTTCACAGTTAGCTGAAGAGATCACAAACTATCAGACGGGACAAAGTGAAAGCTGCTTCTATGGATCAGTGTGTTTCTTACATTCTGCATCCTCGTCTGCAGGAAAAAAAATGCTCACTGTTCAACACTAAATGCTTGTGTGTGTGTGTGTGTGTGGGGGGGGGACGCTGGAAGGAGGTGAGCTGAGGGTGCTGCAGGAGTCCCTAAACTCAGGAGTATTAAAACTCATCGACAGCTGGTTGTAGATGAGTTTTTGGTGTCAGATGGATTTATTGATTTATAAAACCTGAGACAGAACTCGACTTAGACGACTTCCTGCAGCCGCTAAAGATGCTAACCACAGGCTAACGTTACGTCTCAATCTGTTCTGAATAATATCTGCAGGGATGTCGGTCTGCTTCTCGCTCGCCCACTCTCTCCCTCTCTCTCTCTCTCTCTCTAACTGGCTGCTTTGTATCTGAAGGCTGCTGTGTGAACTAGCGTCGTAAAGACGTACCCACTTCTCACCAGATGACCTCGACTCTCGATCAGTGAAAGACTTTTCTCAGCACCACAAACTAAACCTGAGTTCCAGCGTCCCTGATCGAGGGCGGTCGGGTGGATTTAAGATGAGCGTTGTAAAAAGCGAAAGCATGGCGGTGAAAGCATGGCGGTGAAAGCATGGCGGTGAAAGCGGCGGGACAGCACTTGTGATGGCAGAACACATTCTACAAGAAAAGTACATTCATCAGTAGAAACAGGACATTAAACCATTCAGAGAGCCAATCAGCAGCCACGATTTGAGAGCCAATCACGACGAATGACCAAACAGAAAAAAAAAAGGCTGAAGGTGGAGTTCCGTCTCCATGGTAACACTGAACGCCACAGGGTCTCTAACCTGATCTCTAAACCGTCCCTGGTGGATGAACATGCAGCTTCTCCCTGATTACTCTACGTCTGTAAACTATCTAAACATTTTTGGGACAAAGTTTTTGTAAACAGTGAAACGAACGAATCAAAGGTGACCTAAAGGTTTCAGTCTCAGCGGGGGTCTCTTTAAGGTCCTTTAAGATCCAGTAGTCCTTTAAGATCCAGTAGTCCTTCAAGATCCAGTAGTCCTTTAAGATCCAGTAGTCCTTTAAGATCCAGTAGTCCTTTAAGATCCAGTAGTCCTTCAGTGTTTCTTTCAGGAGGCGAGTCAGTGATTCTTTTAATCTTCTATGAGAGTTTCTAACCACAGCTTGTAAAGTCCAGCAGCCGGTCCCAGAGGTGAGTTCACAGACCTGCTCTGGTCCTGCCCCCCCTCCTTAAATAAAAACACACACAGCTATTTCACACACTCACACACACTTTGTCCTGGAATAAATAAGCATTCAATTAATAAAATAAAGACTTCACACACGGCATGGTTCAGGTGTCTGTGGTCTGAGATCCTCTGTGGGGTCTTTAAGTGCTCTGATCAGAAATCAGTTGCACAGCAGGAGTTCTGGACGTGCAGGAAGTAATGAAAAGAACGTTTCACTGCAGTGAGCAGAACATCTGAATGAATGAGAGAAACCTCATCACACCTCGATCACACCGCTCCTCAACGCTCACTTTTCTAACTCGCTCTCTTTTGTTTTCGGTCACATGCAACAACTTAAGATCGGAGAATATTTCTCTTTTATGCATTTGATCTTGTTTTTGTTCTCTTCAGTCGTTAATCAGAGTTTCACATTAAACCAATCTGACAAATTAAAGAGCGTTAACGAGCTGAAAGCTGCGATGGCGGACGTTAACTTTATATTTAAGTTGATTTAGCAGCTTTGTTTCTTTAATGAGCACATTACTGTGTCCTGTGATATGAAGAGCACGCTGGAGAGGATAAATAGGCTGAAAAACAGACTTTAAGCCCTGCCTCCCCACGTGCCCACTCTCTTCTGATTGGTCAGCTCTCTGGAAGCCTTCTGGAGGGGCAGAACGCTGCAGGGCTGCCAGGGGAGGGCTGCTCTCCAGAGCTGGGAGAAGAGAGTCTCTGTAAGAGGTTTCAGAGGCTTGAAGCCGTCTGCTGAAATTCTTAGTTTCATATCGGGGAGCTATAGCGTGATTTACAGAACGAGGCGTTTAGCGCCCCCTGCAGACTCATCCTGGGATTACTCCAACACACGTTTACCTCATGATCTGAAACTTTGACCATGTTTAGTTTGAACATGCAGCATTGAAACACTATGTGAGAGTTTAAGACGGGGATCAGCAGAACAAGGAGACTTTAACCTTCTTTAGATCCGACTTCAAAGATAAGAGAGGATTAGCATAACAAGCCCCGCCTCCTTCATGTCGCCTGACGCTGGAAAAATAAGAATTACAAATATAAATAAATATGTCGCGTTTGCTCACAGTGAGTTTGTTCTAAATGCTTTTTGTCTTTCTTTGGGTTCTCGTCGAGGGCAGCTGACGGGCGTCACGTGACATGGCGCCCGGTGGACTCTGATCAGACGACGTGTTAGAAATTAAATTAACAGATATGAATCTCGTCTCTAAGGGGGGTGTGGCCTCCTAGAGCAGCGAGGAGATCACGTTCTGCATCACAGGAAGGATTCAGTCTCACTCACACAGAAATAAATAATAAATAAATGCTTGAAACATGTTTGTTATTGTTGCCCGTGGCGTCCCCTGCTCGTGGTCACAGCGTGTTCCCCATGCTGCTGCTCACCAGCCCTTTGATGTTCGTGATGGGCCGGACGTCATGCAGCTGTTTCCTCCTGTCGATAAACGTGGCCAAACGTGTCGTATCCAGCGGCGTCTTGGAGTACTCCCCTCCGTGGGCGCCGCCCCGACCCACCCACGGGTGCTGCAGACAGGACGTGGCGCTCGGCCTCTTCCTGGGATCCTGCTGCAGCGACGACGACACGAAGTCCCTCGCCGCCTGACTCACGTTGCTGAAGTACTCGTCGGGGAAACAGAAGTCCAGGCGGCAGATGTTGACGCAGGTTTCCTCCGGGGATTCGTCCAGGAACGGGGAGACGCCGCTGAGCGTCACGTAGGCCAGCACGCCGACGCTCCACACATCCGTTGCCACGGAGACTGGCGTCCCGCGGATGAGCTCGGGGGCGGCGAACTCCGGGTTCCCGAGCAGGAGGTGGACGTAACGGCGGTGAGCGGACAGCTGGACGGCGTCACCGAGGTCGATGAGCTTGATGCTCGGGGTCGGAGTGCGGAGGTCGACCATGATGTTCTCCGGCTGCGGCGGCGAGGAACAAAGTCACAAACACACGAGAGAGAGAAAGGAATTTACGTCAAGAATGTTTGTAATCAAATCCTTCCTTTTTAAAAAGACAGCAACAAACACAGCAGGTGCCCCCTCCCCCCCAGCCTGACTCCGCCCCTGCAGGTTTCTCTTACCTTCAGATCCAGGTGTGCCACTCTGCAGGTGTGAAGGTGCTGCAGCGCCTCCAGTGTCTCTTTGATGAAGAACGCCACCTTCTCCTCCATCAGCTCATCGTGGGCGACGAGGTAATCGAGCAAACGCCCGTCTTCCAGCCTGACAAGCAGAAGATTCAGAAGAGTTTAGATCCTCCTCAGGAGTCTCACAACAAATCTGTTCCTTTAGTTTCAGTCTAACTTACAGCTCCAGGATCAGCATCAGAGAGGTGGGGGACTCGTATGTGTCCAACAGCGCCACCAGCTGGTGATTCTGAACGTGTAGGAGGACGTCTGCCTCATGAGCCACCTGCTCCTTCTTCTGCATCTTCTTACTCACAAACTTCACGGCAACCTGAGCGGGAAAAAAGTGACACGTTCCAGTCGAACATAGAGACGAGCCAAATTCTTACATTTCTAAAATGGATTTCAGCAAACAGGAAGTGTGTGAGCATTTAACCCTCATGCCTCACTCAAATGTTTCCTCTTCATCTGCTCATCATTTTGTCTGTTAGTGGATACGGCACACATTTTTGTAAGAAAATCTCTCTCTTGACACATTTTGGAATGCGCATTTTATTTTTTTAATAGATCAATAGAACACTGAAACATGTTTACAACCCTCTGAAGTCACTAAGGACAAAAATGTCCACTTACAAAAACTGATATAAAAATAGAACAGATTTTTTTCTACTTTTTTCTGCATAAATCTCTTAAACAACTTCAGCCCTGCTCAAGATGATCAAATATTGAATAATTATCAGGAATTTAAATTCCTATTGAATGTTTGGTAGTTTTGAGCAGGGCTGAAGTTGTTTAAGAGATTTAAGCAGAAAAAAGTAGAAAAAAGATCAATCTGTTCTATTTTTATATCAGTATTTTGGAAGTGGACATTTTTGTCCTTAGAGACTTCAGAGGGGAGTAAATTAAACTGAGCTCCGTCTTCACCAAAAAAACCTGAAAAGTAAAAATGGATGTGTTACCTCTTTCTTTGTTGACTTTTGTTGACATTTTCTCACCACAGAGAAGCGCCCCCTGTTGAGGAGACAGAGGAACAACAGTCAACATCTGGAATTCAAATTTAAAGACACGTAATTTAATGATTGAGAGTTTACCTCCCGATCTCACAGATCTCAGTGAACGCAGACTCAAAGTTTTCTTTCCACTGGATCCCCGTTCCATCGTAACCCGAGTCTGGACAGGAAAGAGTCATCAGTACAACACTTTATCTGTGTGTGTGTGTGTGTGTGTGTGTGTGTGTGTGTGTGTGTGTGTGTGTGTGTGTGTGTGTGTGTGTGTCTGTGTGTGTGTGTGTGTGTGTGCAGACGTACTGGTGCTGGACAGCGTGACCATGTTGGAGGCCTCGGATGGCGGGCCGACCCCCCAGCGGTTGGACGCTCTGACTCTGAACTGGTAGTGACCTCCGGGGATCAGAGTGTCGATCTGCACACACTCCTCTCTGCTGCTCGCCACCTGCTGCCAGATCAACGAGTCTGAGGAGGCGAGGAGGGAAAGTTTAACCATCTGCACACACACACACACACACACACACACACACACACACACACACACACACACACACACACACACACACACACACACACACACACACACACACACACACACACACACACACACACACACACACACACACACACACACACACCTTCCTGTCTGTACTCCACGGTGTAGCTGCTGACTGTACAGTGAGCCGAGGAAGCCGGTGGCGTCCAGTGGATCATCACCGCCGTGCTGCTCGCCTCCTGAGCCACCGGCCTCCCAGGGGCTGCTGGGATACCTACAGAAGGAAAACAAACACATGAGTACTCCTCCTCATTGGTCTTTCACTTTTACTAAACGTTTTGTTCCACATGTTAAGATGCTTGTTTTTAATCCTGGTACCTTGCACTTTGATGGAGGCGGAGGAGGAGGCGGAGCCGTGGTCGTTCACGGCGACACAAGTGTAGATGCCTGTATCCTGAGGCATGAGGTTACAGATCTTCAACAGGATGTCGCCCGTGTCCCTGAGGAGAGGAAGAGGAGGACGCAGTGAGTCACATAGCAAGAGGAATGGGATTAAAGGGGTTAGGAACACGTGCGGTCTGCGTTACCTGATGTCGATGGTGAAGCGGCTGTTGCTGGTCACCGGGTTCTGGTCGGGACCCTTCAGGGTGACAGAGGGTTTGGGTCGTCCACAGACTTTACAGCAGAGAACCACCGTCTCTCCGAACGCACAGACCACATCCGACAGAGGGACGAGGAACTCTGGCGCCACTGAAAACAGGAAACACCACGATCTGAACTCGTTCCTCTGCTCGCACTTTGGTTTTTAAAGATTGAACATTTATTTTATTTTATTTCAAGATGATAATCTCCATTGAGCTACAAATCTATGAGCCTCTTCATGAACAGTTACGCCCCGCCCACCTGTCAATCAGGTCAGCTACACGCCTTATTGTGAATAACTCTTATCCTTCATCAAATCAAAACTGATGAGTCATCAAAACATTCACCCCCCGTACAGTGTGTGTCCATCCAGACATGAGCTAATCACACCTATTTGGTTTTTTGAACCAGGCTGTAAACATGTTCATCTCTGCTGTAAAAACAGGCTTTTTAGAATGGGTGTGTATGTGACTTCCTGTGCTTCTGCAGCCAGCCTCTAGTGGACACTCCAGGAACTGCAGGATTTTTTACACTTCAGCATCGGCTTCATTTTACATCACTGGAGGTTGTTGCTTGATTCAAACACACCTGAATCTAATTACCTGGAGCCTTTGCTTTTTGCACAGCATAAGCCAAGACTCCACCTAGTGTTCAGTGTCGGTAATACACTCAAATACAAATTCAGTGTTTTTTATTTGTGCAAAGATCAAGACATTTTGGCTCCAACAGCGGCATTTAAAGGGGCGTATTCTTTTGCATTTGATGATTTGTCACGTCCATTTTATTAATTATTTATTTTGCACATTAGTTTCCAATGCATCAATGTTTGTTCCCCGGCGTCTTTAAGTTGGACGATCATGTCGACATTTATTATTTTGTTTTTGGTGTAGATCTAAATAAATTCACACGCAGATTTATTTTACACCTTCCTGATATAAAACACATTTGAACCTCTGTGTTAAACATGTTTTAATGTTTTCAGCTGCGTGTTTGTCTCATCCTCACAGACTCAGATGAAATACTCCGTCTTACCTTCCTGGATGAAGTTTGGGTTGAGAAGCTGAAAAACAGACGAGGTCAATTAAGAAACCTTCATGATGAAATATTTTAAAACACAGACAGGATGATTGTTGTCTAAAAATTAAATTACTATTCTATTTCTGATGGGTTTTTTTACACATTTGAAAATAAAAAAAACCTGGTTTTGTGATGCTGATACTAAAGCCTTTTCTACCAAGCGCTCCGGTTCAGTTTGGGACCAAAATATTGGACCTGTACCGTCCTACTTTTTTGGCACCCTTCTGTTGGAGTGCCAAGGCTGGAGTCGGACACACTGCAGACGGCTGATTGGTCAAAAGAATCCCTTTCCATGTGACAGCGGTGATGAAGGACAAACACAAACCGTTGTGTGTTTAAACATCCAGTGAATTTGGAGTCATCTTAAGGCTGTTATTGTAGCTCCGCCCCCTGGACGACCTCAGCGATGCAGACCCTCCTATAGGAATCGTTCATCTTTGCTTTCTGTAATGTTCTTCTTTGAATTTATTGGGGTCTACACTATGTGGCTATGATGTCGTGATGGGACTGTTGGCTGTATAAAACGCAAGCAACATCAGGGTTTACTGAACCGGACCGGACTGAACCAAACTGGACCGCTTGGTGAAAACAGGGGCTATGAAGTGTGCGTACCTCCATGCCCGATTTTGGGTCAAGGTCGTCGTCACAGTCCGACTCGTCTGACGTGTGATCCTCCTGAGGGCGAACACGAGTGAAGACGAGAAGAGTGGGAGAGAAGAGATTTTATAAAGGGGGGGGGGGGGGGGGGGGGGGAGTGAGGGAGACAAGGACATGAAGGGAGGAGGAGAAGAGAACACCAGGGACAGAAATCAGGAGGAAGTAAGAGGGCGGGTTTTGGAGGACGAATGAGGAGGGAAATATTATAAGAGAAAAAAAGGGAGAAGAGGAAAACTTCAGGGTCCGTATTCACAAAAACTCAGAGCTCCAAACTTATCTTAAAAAATCCTCTCAAGGAGTCGAAGCTTCAGAGATCTTAAAGAGGCGTCATGGTCGACCCCGTTGTTAGGTATGATAGATTGTAAATCTGAATGTTTGAAGCCTGAGTGACGTCCCCACGTCTGTTCCTGCAGGGGGCGCTGGAGTCCCATGTGCTGGAAATGCCGCCTCAGTCTAACTTTCAGTCATCCTAACGATCTTCAGTCACACTGCTGATCTCACTATTGTTCACATACTGCATGTTGGACCAATCAGAACGAACCACGAGTGTAGAGGGAGGTTTAGAAAACAGCCTGACACTAATCAGTCTGCAGAAATCATTTGTGTCTGCGACTAAGACTCTAAGATTCCCTTTCAGTGTTTAGAGAACATTTCTACATTTCTCTCCTCAGCTTGAGAAAGTCTTCATCCTTATCAGACTTCAGAGATCAAATGAAACCCACCGTCTGAAGGACTAATATACTCTGACCTTTGCTAGCCTAGTCGTCACTTTAAGGGTTTAATGTCCTGATTCTAAAAATCATCTCTTAGCACTTAGCAAGTTTTGTGAATACGTCCCTGGAGTGTGATGTTAGTAAAGACCGTTATAGATGAATCCTTACTGAAGGATTGTTTGGTTAATACTCACCTGAGAGCTGATTTCACTCCGGACTAATAAGATGATGATTTTTGGATGCTAACTGAGGAAGAATGGTCTACCCCACCACTTTTTTAATGAGTCAATCACTGCTGTTATCAAGTTCATAAAGAGGAGCTTTAAAGTGCAATCCCTCTGATGGCCACTAGAGACCGCCGACACTTTCATAAGTAGAAGATCAGCTGTTAAATTCTCTTTCTAATATCGGTATTGGCCCTAAAAATCACATATCGGTCGGGCTCTCATTTCTTTGTATTACATGAGCAGTTCTCTGTCACCAGCAGAGGGCGCTGTATTGATTACAACAAGCATAATCACTCTCCAGTCAGTCTCTATTACACACTGCAAAATAATCTGGGAAGATCATCTGTTATGTGCAGCCTCGAGTCGGGAACACCCCAAAGTTTATCAGAAGGAAATCAAGTTTCTAACCGGCCCGATCCTCCTGCAGGCTGAGCCGGGCTTAAGACTGTTTTTAGTCCACGTCCATCAAATAGAAAACTTTGAATCAAATCCACCAACATGTTTTGAGAAGATTGAAACACTTATGTTATACTCGTACATCTGGTGTCTGAACTTTGTTAGTCAATGATGTTAAATATGCAAAGATGCTGTTTCAGTTTGAATTCTATGACGTTAGACTTCTACAGAAAACACAGATAAATAAATCAAAATCAAGACTGGATTCTACTTCTACTCATGCAGAAAGAGGGAGAAATAAAACACAACGCAAAAACAAAAACAAATCAAACTTTATTTTTCAAACATTGAGGGTTTGAAGGTTTCAGTCACACTTCCAGACGTCGTCTTTCGTGGTTCTCAACCTTTTTTGAGTCATCGTTTTTGTCCTTGTTTGAAACGTCCTGTCTGTTTGGACACCAGCATTTTAAAGAATTGTTTTTACACCTGCAGTTAGCATGCATGCTAACTTTAGAGTTACCTGCATGAAGTAACTATGAAGTATATTTACACCAGCCAATGAAAATGTTTCTTCTACTGAGTCTACAGAACAACAAGGAGATTTCAGACACTTCGTCACCACAGATCTGTCCTGAGGATTAGGAGCTGCAAACTGTTTCAAAAGACGCATCTGTCTGGTTTAGCAGAACACAGACAGTTGGAAAGTATGAAGGTAGATATGTTGCAAAATGTGAGAGCTTGTAGAATGTACAAACTCTCACATCTCATTCTACAAACTAACATCTCATTCTACAAGCTCTCATCTCATCCTACAAGCTCTCACATCACATTCTACAAACTCACATCTCATTCTACAAGCTCTCATCTCATTCTACAAACTCTCATCACATTCTACAAACTCTCATCTCATTCTACAAGCTCTCATCACATTCTACAAGCTCTCATCTCATCCTACAAGCTCTCATCTCATCCTACAAGCTCTCATCACATTCTACAAGCTCTCATCTCATCCTACAAGCTCTCATCACATTCTACAAACTCTCATCTCATTCTACAAACTCTCACATCTCATTCTACAAACTCACATCTCATTCTACAAGCTCTCATCACATTCTACAAACTCTCATCTCATTCTACAAGCTCTCATCTCATTCTACAAGCTCTCATCACATTCTACAAACTCTCATCTCATTCTACAAACTCACATCTCATTCTACAAGCTCTCATCACATTCTACAAGCTCTCATCTCATCCTACAAGCTCTCACATCACATTCTACAAACTCACATCTCATTCTACAAGCTCTCATCTCATCCTACAAGCTCTCACATCACATTCTACAAACTCACATCACATTCTACAAGCTCTCATCTCATTCTACAAACTCTCACATCTCATTCTACAAACTCTCATCTCATTCTACAAACTCTCACATCTCATTCTACAAACTCTCATCTCATCCTACAAGCTCTCACATCACATTCTACAAGCTCTCATCTCATTCTACAAGCTCTCACATCACATTCTACAAGCTCTCATCTCATTCTACAAGCTCTCACATCACATTCTACAAGCTCTCATCTCATTCTACAAGCTCTCACATCTCATTCTACAAACTCTCATCTCATCCTACAACTCTCACATCACATTCTACAAGCTCTCATCTCATTCTACAACTCTCACATCACATTCTACAAGCTCTCATCACATTCTACAAACTCTCATCTCATTCTACAAGCTCTCACATCTCATTCTACAAACTCTCATCTCATCCTACAAGCTCTCACATCAATTCTACAAGCTCCATCTCATTCTACAAGCTCTCACATCACATTCTACAAGCTCTCATCACATTCTACAAACTCTCATCTCATTCTACAAACTCTCATCTCATTCTACAAGCTCTCACATCTCATTCTACAAGCTCTCATCACATTCTACAAGCTCTCATCACATTCTACAAGCTCTCATCACATTCTACAAGCTCTCACATCACATTCTGCAAGCTCTCATCACATTCTACAAACTCTCATCACATTCTACAAACTCTCATCACATTCTACAAACTCTCATCACATTCTACAAGCTCTCATCACATTCTACAAACTCTCATCTCATTCTACAAACTCTCATCTCATTCTACAAACTCTCATCTCATTCTACAAGCTCTCATCTCATTCTACAACTCTCATCTCATTCTACAAGCTCTCATCTCATTCTACAAACTCTCATCTCATTCTACAAGCTCTCACATCACATTTTACAAACTCTCATCACATTCTACAAGCTCTCATCTCATTCTACAAACTCTCATCACATTCTACAAGCTCTCATCTCATTCTACAAGCTCACATCACATTCTACAAGCTCTCACATCTCATTCTACAAACTCTCACATCTCATTCTACAAACTCTCTCATCTCATTCTACAAACTCTCATCACATTCTACAAGCTCTCATCTCATTCTACAAACTCTCATCACATTCTACAAGCTCTCATCTCATTCTACAAGCTCTCACATCACATTCTACAAACTCTCACATCACATTCTACAAACTCACATCTCATTCTACAAACTCTCATCACATTCTACAAACTCTCACATCTCATTCTACAAACTCTCATCTCATTCTACAAACTCTCATCTCATTCTACAAACTCTCATCTCATTCTACAAACTCTCACATCACATTCTACAAACTCTCACATCTCATTCTACAACTCTCATCTCATTCTACAAACTCTCACATCTCATTCTACAAACTCTCATCTCATTCTACAAGCTCTCATCTCATTCTACAAACTCTCATCTCATTCTACAAGCTCTCACATCACATTCTACAAACTCTCACATCTCATTCTACAAACTCTCATCTCATTCTACAAGCTCTCACATCACATTCTACAAACTCTCATCTCATTCTACAAGCTCTCACATCACATTCTACAAGCTCTCATCTCATTCTACAAACTCTCACATCTCATTCTACAAACTCTCATCTCATTCTACAAACTCTCATCTCATTCTACAAACTCTCATCTCATTCTACAAGCTCTCATCTCATTCTACAAACTCTCACATCTCATTCTACAAGCTCTCATCTCATTCTACAAACTCTCATCTCATTCTACAAACTCTCATCTCATTCTACAAACTCTCATCTCATTCTACAAACTCTCATCTCATTCTACAAGCTCTCATCTCATTCTACAAACTCTCATCTCATTCTACAAGCTCTCATCTCATTCTACAAACTCACATCTCATTCTACAAACTCTCATCACATTCTACAAACTCTCACATCTCATTCTACAAACTCTCATCTCATTCTACAAACTCACATCTCATTCTACAAACTCTCACATCTCATTCTACAAACTCACATCTCATTCTACAAACTCTCATCTCATTCTACAAACTCACATCTCATTCTACAAACTCTCATCTCATTCTACAAGCTCTCATCTCATTCTACAAGCTCTCATCATCATTCTACAAGCTCTCATCTCATTCTACAACTCTCATCTCATTCTACAAGCTCTCATCTCATTCTACAAACTCTCATCTCATTCTACAAGCTCTCATCTCATTCTACAAACTCTCACATCTCATTCTACAAACTCTCACATCTCATTCTACAAACTCTCATCTCATTCTACAAACTCTCATCTCATTCTACAAACTCTCATCTCATTCTACAAGCTCTCATCTCATTCTACAAACTCTCATCTCATTCTACAAGCTCTCATCTCATTCTACAAACTCACATCTCATTCTACAAACTCTCACATCACATTCTACAAGCTCACATCTCATTCTACAAACTCTCATCTCATTCTACAAACTCACATCTCATTCTACAAACTCTCATCTCATTCTACAAACTCACATCTCATTCTACAAACTCTCACATCTCATTCTACAAACTCACATCTCATTCTACAAACTCTCACATCTCATTCTACAAACTCTCATCTCATTCTACAAGCTCTCATCTCATTCTACAAACTCACATCTCATTCTACAAACTCTCACATCTCATTCTACAAACTCACATCTCATTCTACAAACTCTCACATCTCATTCTACAAACTCACATCTCATTCTACAACTCTCACATCTCATTCTACAAACTCTCATCTCATTCTACAAGCTCTCACATCTCATTCTACAAGCTCTCATCTCATTCTACAAGCTCTCACATCTCATTCTACAAGCTCTCATCTCATTCTACAAGCTCACATCTCATTCTACAAACTCTCACATCTCATTCTACAAGCTCTCATCTCATTCTACAAGCTCTCATCTCATTCTACAAGCTCTCATCTCATTCTACAAGCTCTCATCTCATTCTACAAGCTCACATTTTGTAACATATCTACCTTCATAGAAAGATCCTTAGCCGCAATTTCCACACATTCCGTCATAACATGCACAACGGCGCCGCTCGCCCCGACTCAAGTCAATGATTGTGTTTCCACATCACCCGCTGCAGTCCGTCTCCGAAGCGTACGCTCCGAGTCTATTTTTGATTGAGCCTGCTTCAAGTTCGCGTCAATAGAACGGATCGACCTGGACAGGAAGTCAGACCAGGAAACGTACAGAGCGTCCGATCAATTTCAAAATAAAACCCAAAATACCGACAGACTGATCGCAACCTGAACATGACGTCAAGACGGTCACCGAATGGACAACAAATCATCCTCAGGAAGACGAAGCAACACGTTGTTCTCCTGTGATGTAGTGACCCGTGTGTACAGCTGCTCATGGCTGCGTTCAAGCTCCAGACACAGATCCAGTCGGGCAGCGTGCACGCTGTCGGACGGAGTAAAACCGTGGTGCTGATGGTATGCAGGGCGCACAGACTATGTGGAAATTGCGGGTTAGTCTGATAGTCCATGGCAATTGGCGAGTTAGCTACCTTAGCATGCTACTGTAACTGTGTCGAGCACTTTAGCAGTTATTTAACGACTCATGACAGTTTGCTAATTAGCTAGTTAGCTCCTTTAATGGGACTGTGTTCTAGGTTCCAGATTTAGTAGCTACACCCTGAGTCATGCTGTCGTCCATAACTGGGAACATGAATACTGAACGTGCAGCTAACATAAAGCTAAAGGTCGCGTCTGCTGCAGGTTAAGAACCACTGATGGAGACAAATAGAAACACAGCTGTGTGTGTTTGAAGGTGTGAACACACACATGCTCCCACACACGAGGGGTTAAGGTGAAAATAAAAAGTGGGGCTGAGGGCGGGTGAGGGGGTTTCGGCACACACATACAACATCACCGCCGTGCGCCGTCGGCCTGCTTTACTCACTTTGCCCTTCACACGTGTGGCAGGGGAGGAGAGGGTAGGAGGGGGCGTGGTTTCTTTGGGCTTACGGAGCAGGCCGTTCTCCTGACCTCGGACTCCCAGTGAGGAGAAGTCCCTGGCTTCAGCGCGCTTCCTGGCACGCAGCGTATTCCACGACAGAGACTTCCTGTACGGTGCAGGAACAAGAGACATCAACCAGCCAATCAGAGAGAAGATCAGGGTCCGGGTTAGTCTGGCTGCGGGGGCAACATGGCTGACAGGTCCTGACCTCATAAGTGAGGTATGATTTATTTCATGAGATTACCCTGCATTCATTCATTCACTCACACGCACGCACGCACGCACGCACGCACGCACGCACGCACGCACGCACGCACGCACGCACGCACGCTTATCATATCTGCTTAAATTATTTACATTACATTAAATCATGTGTCCTTCCTGTGGGGTCAGAACACTGCAGGGCTGCCAGGGGAGGACTGCTCTCCAGAGCTGGGAGAAGAGAGTCTCTGTAAGAGGTTTCAGAGGCTTGAAGCCGTCTGCTGAAATTCTTGGTTTCATATCGGGGAGCTATGCCGTGATTTACAGAACAAGGCGTTTAGCGCCCCCTGCAGACTCATCCTGGGATTACTCCAACACACGTTTACCTCATGATCTGAAACTTTGCCCACGTTTAGTTTGAACATGCAGCATCGAAACACTTTATGAGAGTTTATAAATGAGGATCAGCAGAACCCCTGGCTGCTCCTCTGGACCCGGATACATGTTGGGAAATGATTTAACCGTTAATGTAGAGAAAGTTGTACCATGTGTGTGTTTTGATGAGTATACACTGTCTTTCTCATCGACTCTTTCCAGAAGCCTCGTTAAGAATTGACCCCGAAAAGGAGCCGTTACTCAGATTTCAAGTTTGTAGCTTCGGTGGAGTTTCAAACCGTTGTTAGTAAAACTGAAATCAAAACATAGGTCAAAAGAAAAGTCACCACTGAACATAGAAAACATTGAAAGAAACCAAACGGGGACACAGTGCAGACGATCACTCTCAACCTGCTTCTCCATCTGACTTTAGAGCCCGTGTCCACAGACTGCGTTATATATGTGCCCCGGCAGCGCCTGTTTAAAATACAAACCTAGTAGTTCAGAGTTTAGCGCCCTCAGTGGCAGCTGAGTTAAAATAGTTAAAATAGTTTAACTGTTAGAACAGCACTGTGCTCGTCACTGTCACTTCTCCCTCACGAACCAATTAGAGTCAAGAAGGGGCGGGACTTCTGATAACATGGAGGAGACGCTCGTCCGTCTCTTCTTCAGGAGGTGTAGAGCTGCTGCTGATGTCAGGACTCATTTACATCGTCTTTATGATGAATTAAAGGACACAGCTAACGGACATCACCGAGGGAAGCAGAGGTTTACTTTGGTAACCTAGCAACAGAGTGAGCGCTGCTGAGAAACGCACTGTAACGGAGGTCGTCTGTGGACATGGGCCCCGGGGATGGTCATTAACTCTTCTTGGTGTTAAAGTCCTGCTGTCGCTGCACTTTGACATTAAAGAGGATAAATAACCTTCAGGATGACTTTCAGCACACAGACGCACGCAGACCGCTCAGGTTCACGTTTTGCTGTTGTAGTTTATTTACAAATATTAAAAACTACAAACCGTTAATCACCTTCATCCTAACGCAGAACAAAACAACTTCACCTTCACGTCGCTCTGCTAACTCATGCTCAAGTCCAAAAAAGGATTTATTTTACATATTTAAAATACATTTAAAATCATCGTTGTTAGACTAGCAGTTCAACGCTGCTCGCTGCCTTCAATGCGACATATTGCACAGCCTGACTTCATATTTTTCTCTCGTCTTAAATAGTGCAAAAGGGAGTTTTTTTTAAACAGGAATGTTCTAGAAAATTAACTTTGTACAGTGAACTGCTGACAGGAACAAAAAACAACACGAGGGAGGGAAAAAAAATCCAACGCTGTCAGTGAAACAAAAATCATAATTAACAAGGCAGAAAAAACAACAACAACAGGAAGTGGAATAAACAGAAACCTCGATATTCAGATTGCCACAGACAACAAAATAAATCTTCTCCAGTGCGGAGAAAGGGGCGGAGTCCACCTGAACGCCCCAGGTGAGTTTTTTTTCTTTCCAAAAAAAGAGTGAAAAAGAAAAAAAAATACAAAAACAGAAGAACAAAGCGAGGTGTTAGGAACTGAAATAATCCGGTTTGAGCTCCACATGAGAGTTCGCTCTGCTCTCTCCAGTCGGCTACACGATTCTCTATCCAGTCTATTTCTGCTGGATTAATCCTCGGTACACACTTACATGTGAACAGTGCGTGTATGTGTGTGTGAGTGTGTGTGTTAGTTTTTCCATTTTCATGTCGTTGCCATGGCGATGGCTCAGAATTAAAACCGTCACTGCAGCAGCTTCATGGACGCTAAAGTTTTGTACCTTTTTTTTTTTTTTTTTTTTAACGTCCGAGACGAGAAAAGTCTCCTGTAAGGTCCAACAGTTTGTTCTTTAAAGGGAGGAGGAGGGAAGGGAAGGAGGATTTAGGAAAGGCAGTGAGGAGCTAGGGAAGGGAGCGGATTCAAAAAAAAAAAAAAAAGAGCTTTGTCACCTCGTCTCTCTCATCCAATCCGAGGGCTCGTTTCATCCCAACATGAAGTGCGTCTGTCTGCAGGTAAAGAAGAGCTGGGTGGGGGGTTTTGGGGGGGAGGGGACTTACTTGATGTTGTGTGCATCAGACACCGCCGCTGAGAAAGACGTAGCAGAAGAAGAGTCTTTTATGGACTTTGTGGGCGGGCCTAAGATGCGTCCCGGCACCCAGCCCTCAGCGGCGGGTGATTGGCTGTTGGCCGGCCGGTAAACAAGGTACATGTTCTGCTGATTGGTGGCCAGGATCTGCACGGTCTCTCCCTGACTGACGCAGATCTCGTTCTCTTTGAGCGCAGAGTAGTCCTGAGTGACCATCATGGTGGAGGAGACGCCGTTACAGCCGCCCTCACGGTCCTGAAGAGGAGATGAGAGGATGGAGGATGGGAAAAAGAGACAACAAGAGGAAGAGGAGAAAACACCAAGCAGGAGAAAAAAGAGGGGAATGATAAAGGAAGAGGAGAATTGAGGAAAAGGTTAAAGTTTGTTCATGTGGGATAAACGTCCTGCTGCTGGCTGTGATTACAGCCGACCTAAACCTGAGGAGGAGGAAGAGGAGGGGGAGGAAGAGGAGGAGGAAGAGGAGGAGGTTGCCATGTTGTTTAAACTGAAGCTTCAGTGTTTAGCCAGCACTTCAACATAGCATGTTTCCTTAATGTCTGATCATATAGTAAGATACCTTTATCATCTCACTCTCTACACAGCTCACTGACTAATATTCTTTCATTTGATAAAGATTAGAGTCTGTGACGACTAAGAGCATCATCATTATTTGTTTTGTCAATTTAAGACACAGCGAGTGGGGTAACTGTTTGTGTGGCAGCACATCCATGTTCAAGGACATAAAGACTCTTTAAAGTTTTGCTCTTGGGAACATTTCCATGCGGTCAAGGTGCCTCTGAGCTGTCCAGCCTTCTGCAGGCGGTTAAAGGTTTTCAGTCAAAGTAGGCCAGAAGAACAGCCTGACTCGTTTATTTATAAACCCTCACAGTGCTACACCTGCAATAGCCCAGATTTTTAACCTTTGTTTTTAGGGACAGGTAAGAGCCTGAGAGACAGCGTGAAGGGGGAAGAGTTCTTCATGCCCCAGTTCACCCCCCGCCTGCTGCAGAGAGCGAGCTAACAGAGAAGCTGTGTAACAGAAACATTCAGCCTGTGTGCAGGAACTCACCCTGTCGAAACACGATGTGCCCCCGTTGGAGGTAGACATCTTCATCTGACTCCTCCCCCTCTCCATCTCTTTGTCGCCGAGCCCGACAGCTGAAGACGGCCGGCTGTGAGACGCCGCGGTTGTCCGGTTCCCCGAAGTCGAGCGGTTCCTGGTCAGAGAGGCGCTGCAGCCCGCTCCGCTCTTTTCCTTCTGGTACTCGATGGGCGACTGCAAAGCTGAAAATCACACAGAATGTTTTTAAGTTCCTCATCGAGGAGGTGTCGAGGAAGTCTGCACACGGTGCTGCTGCTTTAAGTTGAAGTACGGAGAAGGTTTCAGCATGATGGACTCATTAAATGTTCCAGAGAAATGCAAAGCTGTTGATTTTTTGGGGATTTAGAGGGAGAATAAAATTGGTCCCAGTATCGACCCTTGGGGGACTCCACAGTTCACTGTGGAGTGAGGGGAAGCATGTTCAAAATTTCCGATTTGATAAATAAGATTAGAACCACTTCAGAGCTGTCCCAGATAAACCAACCCAGTGCTGAAGCCTCTCAATAAGAACTTTATGGTCCACTGTATCAAATGCTGCACTTGAATCAAGCAGTACAAGAACAGAGCATACACCAGTATCATCTTAAAATATAATTTGTTACTCTAGTAAGCACAGTCTCAGTACGATGTTTTTGTCTGAAACCAGACTGGAACTTTTCATAAATGTCATTATTTTTCAGTACTTCAAGCAGTTGCATTGTGGATTGTGTGTGTGTGTGTGTGTGTGTGTGTGTGTGTGTGTGTGTGTGTGTGTGTGTGTGTGTGTGTGTGTGTGTGTGTGTGTGTGTGTGCGTGTGTGTGTGTGTTCTCACCAGACAGGAAGTTGCTCTGAGCGTCCAGGACTTCCTGGATGTGTCGGACCCAGACCTGTTTGGTGTCGACCTTTGCGGCCTGCAGAGTGAAACGGTCCGACGAGCCACGACAAGCCAACACGAATTTACACGGGTCGTTGTCCACGCTCTCCTCCAGACCCAGGAAGGAAATCTACGGGCGAACAACATTCATTTTGAATAAACAGTATATAAACCTTTCAAACCAGACCCCAACAGAACCTCCTTCAGAGGAAGAAGTGATGCTCTGACTCGCTCCTCAGCCGTCACGCTTTACCTTGATGCTCTTCTTGAACTGGTATCCCGGTGTGGACGATCCCTTCCTGAGCAGCTCGCTGAAGATGACGATCTGCTCGAAGAGGAAAACTCGTCGCTCCTTGGAGCGCGACAGGACGCCGGCGTCCTGCTCAGTCACAAAGAAGGTTTCCTGCTGCAGCAGTTTGCCCTGACACATGAGTTTACCCTGCAGAGAGATCAGGAGGTCAACACTCCGAAGCACACCGCTCCGTTTTTTAAATCAGGTTTAAGAGGAGGAAGGTATTCATTCAGCTGAAGCTCCAGGTTGTCACCCTGCTTTGTGATTGGCTGAACAGAGAGTGACTGTACCTCGTATCCCTGCAGCCGACCCAGATTCATCATATCGTTACAGAGTTTAGGGACCTGAGACATCAAATCCACGGCTTTCTGTGAGAGAGAGAGGAGGGAGAACGTTTAATACTAAAGGTGTTCCTCTCCTCGTCAGGAAGCTCATCACAACCTTCACAAACATCAACGCAGATCAACATTTAAACGCCTCCACACCTGTAAATCCTATTTCATCAGTTTTTACCTCGATTTGTTCACAGTCGATGCCCGCCTTTAAGCTGAACTTCAGGAAGTCCTGCAGAGAGACGACAACACAACGTTTAAACAACAAGTTCAGAAACAGACTCATAAGATAAAATATCTTTAAAGTCTATATATGTGATGTTTTGATCCAGCAGATGTCGCCCTTGAGCTCCAGCATGAAACCAAAACAACTGGCGCTGCATTGTTGTGTTAGCATGCTAATGCTAGTGATCTTTATTCTGCTGGTATCTTCACACTGCATGTAAATTTACCTGAAATGAGCGTGATCTAGAAACACAGTTAAGCAGTGAGTACAGTATGTTGTTCTTCTTTTCTCTAGTCCCTCAATTAAACAACTTTTATACACGAGGGGAGGAGTCAGCCGGCCGTCCCGGCGATGTAAACAAAGTGAAGATAGGACTCTGAAAACTCTGAAAACATCACAGACAGTGGGACTCGGGTGTTACACCCATTGTAGACAGTCATGACTCACAGAGTTATTTTCAGAGGACATACTTGATTTCTATTACATTTAATTGTGGCTAAGAAAGTGGCGAACTTGTACTGATGGAATATTGCGCTCAAATATTTTCAGTCAGAAGCTCTGTTCAGAGCGTCCCTGTGTGTGTGTGTGTGTGTGTGTGTGTGAAGCTCTCGCTGTGCTTCATCAACATCTGAGTTCATCCTGCTGTACCCGGTTTACTCTTCCTCTCTAAACACTTTGATACTTGCTGTCAGTTCGTCTGTGACATCGTGTTGGTCCCTGAGAAATAAAACCTGAGTGATAATCGTACTCGTCTGTGTTTGTGTGTTTCGTCACCTTGAGTAGCAGCTGGTATTTTGTGATTCTCTGGATGGGTTTGATGAGGAAGTCACTGATGGACAGTCTGGACTGAGTGTCCTGCTGGATCCCCTGGAAGAGGAACACGAGAGGCACCAATCAAACATGTTTTAATATGAGAAACAACAGAGCACACATCGCCACAGGCTACCTCAAAACCAGAAATTGCATTTAAAGAGACACACACACCAAAACGGAGCGTTCTGAGAGAGCTGGTTTCTACAGGGTCACAAACCTCCTCTGGTGCTTGATTCATGTTATATTTTGACCAAAGCACAGAACAGATGTTTCATTTAGACCACAGGGGACTGTTTGAAAAGGTGGAGGAGGGGACTGTTTGAAAAGGTGGAGGAGGGGACTGTTTGAAAAGATGGAGGAGGAGGACTGTTTGAAAAGGTGGAGGAGGGGACTGTTTGAAAAGGTGGAGGAGGACTGTTTGAAAAGGTGGAGGAAGGGGGTGATATGTCCTCTTTAAAGTCCGATGAGCAGAAGATTCAGTTTCATGAAGAATCAAAACATCACTTACGTCGAAATACGTGTCGTATTCTGCTACGATGAACTCCGACTTCGGTTTATTCTGACAGTAAACGACGTACATGTGCAGCCGTCTCTCCTGTAACAAACACACATCACGGTGAGAGTGAGGATTATTCCAGGTCACATAAACTGTTAAATCATCATCACAGTTTGATACTCACATGTTTTATAAAGAGCTCTGGGAGGTGCTCGTGGTCTTCCAGACATTTCTCCAACTCTCCTACAAAAAAACTGACGGAGAAAAAAAGAGAGCGATGACGTGAGAAAACGAGCAGCGCCGATATCTGGATTCAGTTTCATCCTTCAGAAACACGTCCAGGACTTACTCTCTGTGCCAGTCGTAGATCTGATGAATGTTCCCAAAGACGATTTTATCTTTTCCTTTCATGTCATCGGGGACGCCCTTCTCTTCGATCTTCTTCATGAAGCCCTGCAGAGAGAAACATCGACCAGGTCAAACGTTTTTCTGAGCTCATCATTCTCAAACATTAAGGAAACAATGCAGCAGCCAGTATGTCCTCCTTCTAACTTTAGATTCTGCTCCTGAATGCTCTGGATTTGTTTGGACCAGAGAAGGTAGGCGCTTTTAAGACACACGGCCGTTTTGGACGCCCCTCAGTTTGTCAGATATGAGAGCAGTTATCAGGTCAACAGGTGTTGCAGCGATGGAAGCGGTCAAGAGAAGTGGTTCAGATAGAAGTGATTGTACCCGACCTAAAAAGCCTCTGCATGTTTCTAATAAGCTCCACGAGCAGAAACGTGCTCAAACTAGGATCAATATTGGAGATGCTTTTGAAAAATGGAGAGAGGTTAGAACACAGAAAGGTTTACAGACCCATGCAGAGCTGGATAAACACTGAAGCTTCAGAGTCCACCACATGGTGACCTGAGTGAGCATCCACTCTAGAGAGGAGAATTTAGACTGCAGTACCCATTTTAAACACTAGGGGTCAGAGTTACACTTTTGTTGTGTTATGTCTCACCTCGACCACGATGCCGAGGTCTTTGACGTAGTCCTTCTCCGTCTGAATCAGCTCGTTCAAAACAAACCTGCACAAAAAAAAGAAAATAATATTTGAACATCTGTTCAGAGATTTATTTTAACGGTCCGCTGGCGTCAGTGCTGTGGTCGTCGTGAAGAAGAAACAGAACATGACCTACTAAAAACTACCATGAAGACAAACTGGAGGGATTGACCGTCACATGAAGGCGTCCCTGTTCAGTCTCTTTGAGTTTTTAGAAACTTCTTGACATGTGACAGACGGCTCCTGGTTCTCATAAATGACCTGACTGTACTCACATGCGTCCTCTCATAGCTTTCGCTCTCTGCTCCAGTTCTGGGTTGCGTGGCTGGACTGGGGTCGTTTGCTCCGGTGGAGAGAGAGAGGAGAAGCCGGGGTACGCTCCCGGTTCCAGAGTCTGATGGAGAGGGATGGACGAGGAGGTCAGTAGAGGTCAGAGTTAGATTTTATCATCGAACAGAAACCTGCAAACAAGTGATGTTCTCTTTTGTCATTTAACCACTGAGGATCTCTCCTGGAGGACGGACCAACGATAACAACATCTGGATCCTTCATGTGACAGATTCAGACAGCAGGGGGCGCCAGGAGCCGCTCGGCCTTACAGGGCTTATTGAACAACTGTATCCGAACCATCCTGACCGCACATCTCGCCTCAAAGCGATCCATGAATCTAAATTAAAGCTTCATGGTGAACGAGTCGTGTTGACAGCTGGTCTCTGAACATCGTGTGTTTGTGTTCATAATGAATCAGCTGGTCTCTACACATACACTCACCATCTTAGTTTTAACCAGTTTTTCTATGGCGCTAACCAGCTCGGCAGCGCTGGGCCCCTCGGACGACGACTGCAGAGACGTTAGCAGGGACGAAGACTGAGGAAGAGGAAGAGGAGAGAGGAAGAAGAAGAGGAAGAGGAGAGAGGAAGAGGAGGAAGAGAGAGAGGAGGAGGAAGAGGAGAGAGGAAAAGGAGAGAGGAAGAGGAAGAGGAAGAGGAGAGAGGAGGAGGAAGAGGAGAGAGGAAGAGGAGAAAGAGGAGGAAGCGAAAGAGGAGGAAGAGGAAGCGGAAGAGGAGGAGGAAGAGGAAGAAGAGGAAGAGGAGGAGGAAGAGGAAGAAGAGGAAGAAGAGGAAGAGGAGGAGGAGGAGGAAGAGGAGGAGGGAGAGGAGAGAGGAAAAGGAGAGAGGAAGAGGAGAGAGGAAGAGGAGGAAGAGGAAGAAGAGAAAGAGGAGGAGGAAGAGGAGGAAGAGGGGGAAGAGGAAGAGGAGGAGGAAGAGGAGAGACGAAGAGGAAGAGGAGAAGAGGAGGAAGAGGAAGAAGAGGAGGAAGAGGAGGAAGAGGAAGAAGAGAAAGAGGAAGAGGAAGAGGAAGAGGAAGAGGAGGAAGAGGAAGAGGGGAGGAGGAAGAGGGAGAGGAGGAAGAGGAGAAAGAGGAGGAAGAGGAAGAAGAGGAGGAATAGGGAGAGGAGGAAGAGGGAGAGGGAGAGGAGGAAGAGGAGGAAGAGGGAGAGGAGGAGGAAGAGGAGAGAGGGAGAGGAGGAAGAGGAGGAAGAGGGAGAGGAGGAGGAAGAGGAGAGAGGAAGAAGAGGAAGCGGAAGAGGAGGAAGAGGAGGAGGAAGAGGAAGAGGAGGAAGAGGAAGAGGAAGCAACAGAAAGTAAAGTGTTAGTGAGTTAGCAGAGGACGGCAGCAGACGGACAAACTGCAGGAAATACAAACTGCTGCTAAACTGCTGCTAAGCTACCCTGACAAAAAAACACACTTAATAAAATGTGCAGAATATGACTGAGTAGAAAAAAGCTAAATTCAGGCAGTACATTTTTTAAATGACCCAAAACTAGAATAAAATAATAAGAAATTCAAGCATTTGCACGAATACAAACTCAAATTTCTGGCTGAGCTTTACCAAAATAAATAAAATCAGAATATGACGTCGAGTACAAGAAACCTTCACTCTACAGGAAGGGCCTTACTGTATTTCAAAATAAAAGCACCAGCAAGTAAAGTACTCTCAGCTTAAGACAGGATAAACATTCAAAATAAAATCCTGACAAGTTTTATTTTGAAATGCAAAATAACAGAATTTAAAACATGCGATTAACTTTTGAAAATCAGCGATTAAAAAATGTAATCGTACGACAGCTCTTATTTAAATCATAAACGTCCACCAGGAGACCAGTTTCCGTTGATGGATGGCCACATCGAGGACGCGTGGTTGGTTATCCGTCTCACCTTGTCTTCCTGAGCTGCTGAGGGGTCTTTGATGATCTCCATGGGGGGAGGCAGAGGGGTGTGCGCCTCCTCGTCCGGCTCCTCCTCGCCGCCGCTCTGCATCCCCTGCGCCGTCTTGGAGAGGAGGTTTCCGTCCTTGCTGAGGACTCGCTGAAGGAGACAGGAGAGAAGTAGAAGATGCTGACTCAGGCTTTACTCGAGGTCGTTTTAAGGTTCAGACATGGTCGTGAATCATGAATTAGAAACTTCTCATGATTCTCTTGAAGAAGACATTTCAGTGGCAGAGCTTCAAGCTGCAGTTTGATGTTTGCTGACTGAGCGTCTGCAGAGAGGTCACTGCTTACCTCACTGATGATGTCCTCCTGCAGGTTGAGGTCGGGCTGCCCGAGGTCGATACTCCTCCTGCTTTCTTCTCTTCCTGATCCTGTCAATCAATCAATCAATCAATCAATCAATCAATCGTATAAATACCTCGCTTTCATTAATCGACGAGTCTGTCTCTTTTAGGCTTCATATTCAGCAGCTTGATTTAAGATTTAACCAGGTGATTAACCCTTTGAGATCCAGAGGGAGACAGCAGCACACGTCATCATAAATATTACATGATTGTGTCTGGAATAAGTCTGCTTTCTGAGACTGATGGATTAGGGTGATGTTTTATAAATGCATGCATCTTCTCACTGCCTTAAATCTTGTGAAGCTGTTCATCATGGAGCTCCGAGGTTCATATTCTGGACTCTGTATGATCCGAGTCAGCTCCCCTGCGTTGTCTCTTTGTAGATTAAATCACTGACATGTCCTCATTTATAAGTCTATATTTAACATTCCTCCCTCGTACTTGTGTCTATTTATTCATGTGAAAAGTTCTGCAAGTTTCAGTCTTCACTCTGAGACTCAGTCACTAAACATCTTTTTGCTATCTGTCCACAAAGTGCGTCTTAAAACAAGGAAAAGGAATGTTCTCTGCTCCTGCAGGAGGATCTGTGTCTGGAGGAGCTGCTCTCTTTAAAAGTAGATTAAAGAGATGGGAGGAAGGACTTCTATTCACATTTTTTCTATTTATATTGAATGTTTTGTTTTTACATATTTTTACATTTATTTATTTATTCTTTATTATCATAATTTTACTCATTCATTTCTTAAATTATGTGCGTATGTATATGTATATATATTTTATTTTTTATTATCATAACTTTTTTATTTTATTTTATTTTATTTTATTTTATTTTTTATTATTATTATTTTTTTTGTAACAGGGTTAAGGAGGATGTTTGTCTGTAGGAGCTGCTCTCTTTAAATCTTTAAAAAGTAAACTGAAGGTGTTGGAGGACGATGCTTCAGGTTGATGATGTTTTGACTGATGACTTTCTGCTCTGTGACTCAGGATCTGCTGATCGGTGTTTACTTCACGTGCTGCTGACTCTCCTGTAAATTAGATTCTTAATCTCTAAGATTTCCTGGTTAACACATTTTGAATAAATAAATTGGTGTTATTTCTGCTGCAGTCTGGTCGAACCAATCTGCATGCTCGTTCTCACCGCTCTTCTTCTGCTTGCTGTTGGGGAGTTTCTTGACCGAGCTGCCGTGGCTGAGGCGGCGGACCGGACTGGTGAGCCATTTCCTCAGAGTGTTCCCGGAGCGTTTGGGACCTGGAGAGCTAGAGTGCAGCGAGCTGAGGGACGGCTGGGGCTGAAGGTTCGCCACTGACTCCGTCTTCCCGTCAGAGCCGACGACAGGATAGTTTTCTGGAAGAGAAAGAAGAGACTGACATGTTAGGATGAAGGTGAGGGTCACTGATTCTGCTTCTTCAGACTGGAAGAACAGTTCAGACGACTCAGCGTGCAAACACTGACGACAGGCTGAGAGCGAGGAGCTCATGCTTTAGTTTTTAGAGTTTTTAGATTCCCAGCACACGAGAGACCTCGAGTCATGTTCACATTCAGTCAAAGACGAGTCAACAGATCACCAGCCTCTATTGCAACCATTGCTGGGTTACTTTCTCCTGGTCAATGCATTGAAGGCCCTTGTTGGCAAAAGAGCTATAGAATGACGCAGAGGTGACTTATGATTGGTCAGAATAACAGTGAAGATCTTTGATTTTGGTTTCAACAAATCAAAACGTCTGAAAGTCCTGACGTCAGGTTCTGGCCAAGTTCTCGTTCAGAGCAGCAGGAAACCTCGTCCGGGATTACACCAACTCCACCAACTGTGTATGTTGTGTTTAAAGAAACTTTGCAGAGGAGGGATACTTCACCATGAAACATGAATCTGTGTTGACATTGAGTCATTTATGTAGAAATATGAAAGACATTTTGAAAGTGTCTTTTTGGCTCATGTGGATGAAAGACACCAAATCCCAGAATGCACAGCACCGAAGGCCACTCCCACTATGTCCTCTATTTACAGACATATTTACTTCAACACATAAGACGTTTCCTCAACTGATTCAGAGATTTCTTCCAGAATTGATCTTGTAAATTCCTGTCAGAAAACAGACTCTATGTCTGAGTCCATAGACAAACAGTGAGAGCACCAACACTACCAGTCCGCTCGAGCCGGCCCGGCTCTTCGTCCTCACCGCCGCCGACAGGCAGGCCTTATGTCTCAGGTGCTGAGCTGGCAGTTTCGAGTCTGGGAGTGAGCTCCCACCCTCTGATCTGTGATTGGTCTGTAGCTTCAGCGGTTGAAAATATGAGGAACTAGCGTTGTAGTTTCACCCCGCTAACCACAACAGCTTCCAGTGACGCAAAAATCATCATTCTGCGTCACTGGAAGCTCCTTTACAGACTCAGAAATACAAAGATTTTACATCTCAGGGGAAAATGAGGGCGGGATGCACGACCATTCAAAAATACTACCAGGTTTCTAATGATACAAAGATTAATGCTAATGGGTGAAGTATCCCTTTAAGTATGGACTCCAACATCCTAACATGATATGTGTGTTTTTAAAGATGGATCAGCAGAATAAATCTCCTTTAATCATGATCAGGAGCTACAGCATCATGTTTGTGTTTTGATCTCTGTGAAATCCAGACGAGTGTTTCTAATGATTAAAAAACACAAAGTGTGTTCTGCAGCTGTTCTGAAACTTCATCTGCTGGAGTCTTTATGAAAGTGAAGCCGTTCTGTTAATCTATAAATAGAAAAACAAACTGAGCAGAAGAAGAACAGACAGAGCGGCGTTTCATTTGACTGTTCAAGCAAACGGAGAAACATTTGAATGTGTTCAAAGATAAACCGGGAAGCAGGAAGTAAACGCTATCACTCAGATGAGGACCGATACACTCAGATAATAATATCACAGAAGTTTGATATCTGCGCTTATTATGGGCTGTTTGGACTGTGTGTGTGTGTGTGTGTGTGTGTGTGTGTGTGTGTGTGTGTGTGTGTGTGTGTGTGTGTGTGTGTGTGTGTGTGTGTGTGTGTAATATTGGGAGAGAGGGGCTGTGGTCATGTGTCAGGGGAGTGGTGGATCAGCTGCACTCACACACAGCTGGGAGCTATCTGCTGTGGTGGTGCTGAGTGTGTGTGTGTGTGTGTGTGTGTGTGTGTGTGTGTGTGTGTGTGTGTGTGTGTGTGTGTGTGTGTGTGTGTGTGTGTGTGTGTGTGTGTGTGTGTGTGTATCAGACAGGAAATGAAAGGTTCAAAGTTGATTTACAATCTGAGTTTATTTTTCATCTCCATATTTACTCCCCCTCCTCCTCCTCCTCCCTCCTGATTTTTATCTGAATGTTTTGTTGTTCACACATTTTTGTTGCTTAGCAAAATAAAAGCACATGACAGTCTGTTATTTTTGGGGGTAATGATCCCTGTAGGATCAATAAAGTCCCTCTCACATGTCAGTGAAGTCTTCAGATATCTGCAGAGACAGATCGTCAGAGTGTTCAGGGGAAGTTAAAGTGTAAAGTTTTCAGGAGGTTTAAGAGTCTCTGCGCTGCCAAAGATTAAAGGAGGAAGTACTCGTGGACACCAAGAGAGGGTGGATTATTATTTGAGCTTTTGGTTTTTGCTCTTGAGGTGTGTTAAAAGGTTTTGCTTCCTGACTCCTAATCGTTCAGTTTTAGGATCCTCTCAGTGTTCGGTATCTCTTGATGCTTCTGATGTTGAAGAACCTTTAAAACCTCTCAGACATGAAATAACCTGACAGGTGATATAACCCCCAATCAACCTCACTTCAAGACTCCCTCCTGACTCATAGACTAACATCTCTCCCCAACTTAACCACCAACATTTATTAGGTTCCAATGCATGCTGATAACCACAACAGTCTGTAAGTGTGATTAAAGGTCTCATATCCTCCTCCTCCTCTTCAGTGTAAATAAGTCTCAGAGCTCCTCAAAACATGTGTGTGAAGTTTCTTGTTCTAAATCCACTCTGATCCTGTATTTGATCATGTCTATAAACCCCTCTATTTCAGCCCTGCTCAGAACAGGCTGTTTCTGTGTCTGTACCTTTAAATATGTAAATGAGCTGTGTCTGACCACGCCCCCTCTCTGGAAGGGCTTGGGTGTACTCTGTCTTTCTCGCTCCATGTCCTATTGTTTACGGTGAGAAGGCAGACTCAGAGGGCAGAACAAACACCTAGCTGTGGGAGTGTCACCCACCTGGGGGAGGGGCTACTGCCCTTTGTGATGTCATGAAGGGAAAATCTCCAAACGGCCTGTTTGAGCACACATTTTCTGAAAAGTGGAGCAGGCAGAAGATGGAGAGGATGGACTTTTCTCATCATTGGGGGGTTTGTAGACAGACTAGAGACACATGTTAGAGTTAGAGAAACATGGAGAAGAGGATTTTGTGACCTTTAAGAAGTTCTATGATCTGCATCCAGAATCTTCCCTGAAATGGAGATTTTTAAATCAGATAAATTAGTGTCTAATCTTGGTGAACCTAATAACCGCCGGCACTCTCTTTAAACGAGGTGAATGAGGCTCATTGATCGGAGGCTGATGACGTCTTTCTTTGTTTTTAGTGTATTATTCCTCAAAGCTTTCTAACTTGGGATAAAAAACCTTCACATTATTTCACTCCCTTTGAGCTTCACTAAACTGACTTATCTTTAAAATGAGGACTTCAGTCTCTGCAGCTCGTCCTGAAACAGTCTTAATAAAAACAGTTTGTTTTCATTTCTTAGTTGCTGCGTTTGTGCTTCATGTTATTTTTGTCCGTCTGAGGTTTTGTAACCTTTTCTTTGTCCTGAGGTGAACAAACTCCATATCACACTGCTGGTTAATGAGTGAGTATCAGCCGTGGTTATTTGGCTGTGTTATCAGAGCGTGTCAGCAGTAAGGTGGAGATAAAAGCGTTCCAAACAGCAGCCAAGGTCGCAGTGAGCGACTGAACGTGCTCATGACAAAGAAAGTCTGACTAACAGACTGTATGGAGTTTTATTCAACAAGCTGTATTTAAATATATGGTAATGTTTGAAGCAGCGAGGTGTCATGCAGAAGTTGTTGATTCTGACTTAGGCCTCGTGTCCAGTCAGCGGTTTTCCCGGGCAGTAAAGCGCCGGCTGAATGCTCTGGAGCGTCAGCATGAAGCGTTTGTGCTCTGAGAAGAAAAGCGCTGCATGTCCATCCTGTTTCCATGACAACAGTCTGTTTACAACAACCGCTGTATGAGCGACACTGCTCCGTTACTTTTCACTGCATGTTTTATATTTGAGATCGTTTATTTCAGACACGGAGCGAGGAGGTTCAAGACACGGGGAATATCAAACATTTAGAAAAGAGCGCCGGTGATGTCATCAGCACCTTTCTCATGTTGAGTGCTCGTTTTCAAAGACGCTGTGCTGTGTGTCACTTCCTGTCCTGCTCGAGCTGCTCTGTGGGAAACTGAAGCGAACACTCATCTGCTGGAATTTAAGGATTAGTTTGTAACAGCCAGCTGGTGGAAAGATGGAAGAACTAACTGAGAGGTTTAATTTGAGCTTGACTCAGCATTGTTGGCATTCATGAGTCATTAATCAGCAAGAGCTGCTGCAGATACACAAGAAGAGAGATTTGACCTGTAGAGCCTGAGACAAAGGTCAAAGGGCGTTCACTTCACACCTGTCTTAATACAGACAGAAGATGCTTCTTTTTGTTGTTGTCATGACGACACACAGACGTGAAGCTCCTGGAGTACACCAACACTCAGTCTCCTCTTTGTCTCTGACGACAACACTCGCTCGCTTTCTCTCTGAAGAGCTTTTTGAACTCAGTCATGTGTTTGTAAGAGAGGTGATGATGTCACAGCTAACGTCAGAGGAGGAGGAGTCTGTACAGCTGAGTGACACACACACACACACACACACACACACACACACACACACACACACACACACACACACACACACACACACACACACACACACACACACACACACACACACACACACACACACACACACACACACACACACACACACACACACACACACACACACACACACAGCTGATGACGTATGGCAAAAAATAAAAAAAAATCTCTGCACACTGGAGGAGATGAAACTCTCAGTGATACCCGTCTGTGACAGCTCGCTCCAGTCTCTATTTGATCCTCTCTCTCTCTCTCTCTGTGTCTCTCTTTCTCTCTCTCTCTGTGTGTCTCTCTTTCTCTCTCTCTCTCTGTGTCTCTCTTTCTCTCTCTCTCTGTCTCTGTCTCTCTCTCTTTCTCTTTCTGTGTCTCTCTTTCTCTCTCTCTCTGTGTGTCTCTCTTTCTCTCTCTCTCTCTGTGTCTCTCTTTCTCTCTCTCTCTCTGTGTCT